GTGTGTGAGTGAGTTCATTGTAGACATGCTGAGAGACAGAAGCAGACACAGAAACATAAACAGAGAGACAAGGAGCCCGATGTGGCACAATATTAATGATTGGTGAATCAGGATGAAAGTATACGGGAATTCCTCATAATATTCTTGCAATATTTTCTGTAGGTTTGAAATCATTTTGAAATAAAATAAACAACAAAAGGGAAAAAAACAGAAACAAAATGCATGTTGCGTCTACTACCACATTCTTTATTCTTTTATTGCCACAAATCCTTTAATCAGTAGTTGAGAAAACCTTACATTCAGAGCTGGAAAAGAAGCAAGGAAGCTGGTAAAGATAAGAGCATATCTTTAAATATCTTGGTGGAGTAGGGTTATAACAATTGAGTGCCAAAATTAGCACTGAGCTTCCTGTAACCCTAGGCAAGGAGAGACACATAATGGGTATCTATCTTTTGGCATCTAGTAGAAGAAACTATAGACAGACACACAAGTTATCCTGGATTACACTTCTAAACGAACTTGTCACAAAGGATACTGAAGAATACATTGGAAGATGTTCTCAGTAGCACTTTAACCAAGACTCCAAAAAATATTCTGCAAATACCTGTTTGTTATATATAGCATTAGTCTGGATGAACACTGAAATATTACTGCTACATCATAATTCCATAAAGACAATTCTTTATGGACCTCAAAGGAGATGGTTCATGGATACCACTCTCTGCTGATCTGCCTTAACCTAAGGATAAAATATGGAGAATTTTAAAGTTTGAATAATCAACATGTTTTTAATCCAGTATTTACTTGAGATGTCAATGCTTTTGTTTTGTTTTTACATAAGTAATGAGATGCACACTGTTTCTTAATTTTTAGTATGAGAAAATTTGCTAACTGCTTTATAGTTATATAAATATATGGTCATTTTGCAAAAGATTGTTTACAAGATTCATTAAGCTATATTTGTAAATAGCAGGGAGTCATATGAAAAACAATATAGTGTGGAAATTTATGGCTTTGGGGTTCTTTGGGGTATGGAGTGGTCAGTGAAATCTTCCCAAAGGAGGTGACATTTGAGCTGATAGGTATTAAATAATTAAAAAAAAAACACCAAAAGTAGTAAATTTTACTCTGGAGGTAGGTTCAAGGAACAAAGATAGCTCAAAAGATGAAGTGACCAACTCTGAGTCACAGTAGAGATGACATTTGTAATAAATATTAAAGGATGAGTTTTCCCAGGAGGCAAGGGAGAGAGGTATTCTGAGGAGAGGAAGCTGCATCTCCAAGGACAGGGAAGCATGAAAAAGCAAGTGCACACTAGGTAATTTTAAGTTGCTTCGTGTGGTATAAGCCTGCTCATGTAGGTAAGGGGTCAGAAATCAAGCTGGAGGTCAATAGACGCACGTTATAAAGGACTGTATATGAAATTCCAAGGAGTTTGAGTTTTGTTCTGGGAAGCATGAGGGCTGTATTTTAGTAAAGCACTACTTGTGACGGATTGGGAAAAGTGACTGGAGAAGTGTGAGGCTGGAATCAAGGAAAGGCTGCTGTGATCACCCAGCAGAGCTGATGAGTTAGCACTGAGGAGCTAGCGAGAGTGAGATGGAGTAAGAGCAAAAGGTGGAATGGAAAGACATTTAGGCATTAAAATCAATTGATTTTGGTAACTGTGGGACAACTCTGCAAGTGATAAGAACTATGGGAGGAAAAAATACATCTGTCCTGGGGTCAGAGGCTCTATTTTTTTTTTTTTTTTT